AAGGGGCGGAAAATTTTGGCCGAGTTAGGCCAAAACCGACTTATCGCGTGACCGACTTATCGAGTTTACATGTGTATCCCTCACCAGGATACCTAGAAATCGTCCGCATATGGTGGGAATTTGAATTTCCCATCCCTAGTCGCGGCTACGGCTAGCCGATTGGCAATGCTTCATTGGTCATATAAAATTAAACAATATCATTCCCAAAAAATTTACTTTTGAAAAATAAAGATGTCATGGAATTAAATATATCCTTGAATTTTTTTCCTTACTTTACTGGAAGAAAAATTTTATAATTTTTAAGTCTTCGGGTATAAAATTTCTTGAACTTTTCATCAGCATAATTTGACTTAAAATTTTCACAATTAACAGGATTGTCTTGCTTTATTGATAGTAATGTTATTTGTGCAATGGCTATATCTCTAACCTTTTGTATACAACAAATGCAAACAGCCTTCGAATTTGATTTATTTGAATTATTCTTATTTCTTTTACTTGGCATAATAAAAGCTTATAAAATTTCTGCAAGTGTGAGATGTAATTATTTTTTAAATTTTCTTGGTCACTGCTCAAAATATAATTTTTCCAGTGGAAATGATCTACATTCTTGCCAAATAAATTTATTTTTTATTACTCTCCCTATATATAGATCCTAAATAATAATTACAAATAGCAATAAAATCAAAAATCAAACTGAATGTAAAAAAATGCTAACGAACATTTGTAGTTACGATGATGACTCTAACATTTCTTTTACAACGGCCTTATCAAAGTCTACAGAATTATCAAGATGTATATGATGACCTGCTCCGGGAATAATTATAACCTTTGTAGGAACATTCATTGTTTTAACGGCTGCTTCTGCTGCCCGATGATCCATCCAATCATCTTGTCCATCTATATGCATATGGAAAAATACATTTTTGTCGTTAAAAGAAAAACTCTTGTTATTTAATATTAGTAACAACACTTACATAAAAAAGTGGTAGGCATTTTCAATTTATTTAATCGATGAATTAATGGTTTTCTTGCATAAGCTCCAGGAGCAAGAATTCTTGATAAGGCATATTCACCACTACCTGGCGCACAAGAAATATGATAAAGATAATCATGTAGGTCAATCCTATCTATCTCGCCAAGGTGAGAAAATCGACGTGTGGTGTATTGATTAACTAGTGTTGGTCCAAATGGACCTGTCCACCTAAGAATAGATTGTGGTGTAAGATTAGCATTCCATAATTTTTCTATCCATTTTGGCATTTGACGTACACCATTTTCTGGTGGTGATGATGTAGTGGTGGTGGTAGTTGATGTTGTTGTTGATTTTAATTCTTCATAAGGATTAACAGGGACTCCAACAGGAGAAACCATTATTAATCTTTCAACATGCTCTGGATATTTCAATGCGTACACGGCAGCTAAATAACCTCCTAAACTGTGACCTAACAATGTCATTTTTTCAATTTTATGTATTTGTCGCCATTTTTCAAGCGAATCTATAAAGAAATTCTCAGTTTCTTCAACACTTTCATCGACTGTTTTTCCTTTCACGTTAAATTTTGGTCTAGAACTTCTACCCATTCCCAGCCAATCAATACTATATATTCTCCAACCTGGAACTTGACTAAGAGCATGATAATTACGATAAAAAAATCCTAATCCAGCTCCAAAACCATGACACATAACTAGATTCTTTGCAGGAGGATTTTCATTAAATGCGGCGGTATGAGATCTAACGGATATATTTGTTTGTGATATTAGAGTAAAACCAAGCTCATTATCAACAGACTCCGAAAAAAAAGGATCATTTGATGAGGTTTCTGTTGATGGTATTGAACCATTTTCGATAACAAAATCATTACCCATTTGATCAATCACCAAAGTATTTATTTTTCTGACTCCATCACCATCCAAATCGACTAAGCCAATACGAAAAATTGTTTTCGAGTCCCCCGGTGTACCTGTTGTTTTCCCTTCCATTCCATAATATTGCATTTTTGATAATAATCTCGCTTCAGCTGCTTCATAAGTTTGCTCAGAACGTGAATACCAATGTCTTAGTGAAGCAAATCGAACATATGGTGAACTATTTATTTATATATATATGTGTGTGTGTGTGTGTATATAGAAATTATAAATAAAGATACTAATTAATATTTAATTAACAATTAATAATTATAATACTAACGGTGCAGGTGGTATATTTGCTTGAGAAGACAAAATTTGAAACGTTTGATGGATAGCATTTGTAGATAAAGAAGAGGTAGTAGATAAAACGGTAGACATTTTATTAATGGGAGGAATTTTTAAAAAAGAGAAAATATTAATAATAATAATGGTAACAATAATGGTAATAATAGTAATAATAATAATAATATATTACTATTACGTAAAATTTAACCGAACCAATAAATAGTTGTTTGTGTGACCTTTCACCAATTGACGCTACCAATAATTTACATTCCAGGTTAGTAGACTTCTATTCTTTTAAAAGGAATCAAATGAATTTGTTGCTTGGGGAATATTTCTTTGTTATCTTGCTTAGGGAAATGTGGAAAAACATGCATGGAAAGAGAACAACTTCATTATCGTCATCTTCAACATCGATCCTTAATTTTGATACCAAAAAAAGACGAAATAAATTCTTTTATCAAATTCAAATATATTAGGATAAAATTATTTTATTAAACAATTAAAAAAGATGTGGAATTTACTATGTGGCTCCCAAATGCTTGAATATCGATCCATTCTACCTAGATAAGTGTTTCAAATGCGAAGGATATTGTGTAGATAGTTGTAAAATAAAGTGTAAAGGGAAAGTCATGATTTTTAAATATGGATTTATCAATCCTATGTTTTTTCATAATCAAAATAATCAAAATTGAATTTTTATTATTTCGTTATTTGTTTTATTAATTAATTTTAATAGAACACTGAGGCATAAATATTTTTTTATAAAATTAATAAATGAAAAGAATATTAATAAGAATTTATCTAAGGCCAGTGTATCTTTCAATGAATGGAATCTTATCATCATCAATCTTTAGCTAAATCATTACGTCTTAGCGGACATTGATTATAAATCCAATGTGAAATAAATCTAAAGGATATGTCTGCAAGTTAAGGGACCACAGGAGCCTTAATGATCTATAATTGTTGAAAGAGTCAAAAGAAAAACTAATAATTTAATGTGGGTTTTTCAAAAATATTCCACACCACTTGTTATCTATCAGTTGTCTGTTTTTAAATGAAAAAAAAGCGTGTACTGCTAGCTAAACTAAAGAAAAAATTTGTTGAATTTGTCCGCTTTCGAAATATTTTGTTAAAACGTTACAACTAGGGATGGGAAATTGCATGAAAATTTCAAACTTCGTGACTGCATCTGCCGATCTTTTTTATTTTTTAAAAAAAATTTTTTATTATTATTAAAAAAAACAAACCAGATTTTAATCACTAATATTAATCACTGATTCAGATGTATATACATCACTATCATCATTTTCACTTCACTAACATCATCTTCCTGTTCCTCATTATCAT